ATTCGAATCTTTGTCGAGATTAAACATATGAATGAAACGACGATCAATGTCTTTATTAAGAAAGAAGAAGACTACGGAAAACTTAAGAAGAAGACACCGACAATTAAAATCGGAAATACTGAGATACATTTAATAGGTCGAGCCAAATACGGGCTATGCGAAGAGTGCTCGACACTTTATCAAGGGTGGCACCCGAAGCACTAGAAAGCGACAGCAGTTAGGCCGTAGCACTTCTCACCTCCGATAAATGTATGTCGCCAGATTGATAAAAAACTAAACACCCAGGGGTGTAACACTGTAACAAATCATCCAGAGATGGATAGATAACACCATTATTTATTTCGAAATAAAGATCACCCTCACACCTCAAATTAACAACCGTATGCCATCCTATTTTTTATCACCTCCGGGATGAGAAAACGATCACCAAGATCGATCACCTCTCCGGAAACAGGGATAGACGCTGGTAAAAGCAATTCGATTGTAAACTCTCTGAGAACCACCAACGTCGAGGGTAAAAGACTCTTCCATCTCGAACATGATATCCTCATCGTCGAACAAAACGGGGTCAATGTAAAAAACCAACAAGTCAGGCATTTGCTTGATAACCAAATCTCTCAGCGAACGGCAGGGACTTCCACAAACACCCCCATGAACGCGTTTCGGGCAAGTAAGAGAAATACCACCAGACCAAGAGACAGTGTGAAACAGCCTCGCTAAGAAGGAAAGGTACACCGGCCTCACAATAACCACGACCTAACCGAAAACAGGGAAATTATGAACAAAAGCAGCACCAGGGCCTCGACAATGTCGACAATCGAAAACACCGCTCACAACAACCATGAACAAATCGTGATAAAATCGATGGTCTTGAACCAACTTCTTACAGAGATCGGTATAAACAAGATCCTCCGCCCACCAGGAGTGGAATAATGATCAGAGATAAACTGGGAAAATGCCGCAGCAACCGGTGAGATGATCATCAAGATTGATATCGTTGGTGGGCTTCACCTTAGGCGGAAGAACTACCTTTCGGCCAGGCCAGAGCTTGTTACTCAATCCAGGGGGAAGATTACGAATGGAAAAATCGATGACAGCGGAAGCTTTCCGAACCTCTCGATGATACTCATACAAGCAGCAGGTCCACAAGAAACGAGTCTCACCTTGAGAAAGTATCACCTCCTTCTTAGTGGGACAAATGATCTTCCCATTGTTGATCTCACCAGTAACGGAGAGAAAACACTGAAAAGCACCCTGACGAATGAAGAAGAATGAAATAAAGGCACCAGAGCAGAATTCAAAAAACAATGACCCCTCCAGTTAGGCATAGGAACAACGCGAAGAGGCTGAAAAGTAAGAAAAATTAGGTTAGAAACGCTGACTCCGAACTGAGGTCGCGGGGAAAATTACCATAACAAGAACAAGGTGGTCATCGACGATAGAAGTAAGCAAACGATGACAGGCCATATCGTACGAACGATTGAAACCATCATCAGCACCAAACCCACAAATCCACCCACCACGGTACTTCAAATCAACGCGACAGAGATAGATTAGCACACCATCACGATCATGATGACAATAAGAATAACGTATCTCATGAACTCCAGAGCTCGGCATGGTAAGAATCTCTCGCTGCAGGGCCTGCTTGGAACCACGATGAAAAGGCTTACCAATCAAAGCAGCACAAAGGTTAATCCGGGTCTTAAGAGCAATCTCCACCTTAATAAAATAATCCGGGATACGATCCCGAGGAAGACTAACAGCCATGAATACTCTAGAGAGGAAAAGAAAACAAAACGTGAATTAGAAATGGAAGTGAAAATTAACCACATCAACTCGAACAAAAACTACAAATCAACACGTAACGCTATTATCAACACAATAAAAAGTGAAAAAACAATAACATCGATTAGTGAACCGAACAACCGAGCGACCACGAGATGGTTAAACAACCTCAACATCTTCGGTAAAAGACGCCAGGCAATGATAATATCACCGGACCTCACAGCGAAACCGATATTCAACAAAAGTGACTCTGTGTGTGTGGTGAAAGTGCTTGAAATTGATACAATCATCACAGCGGTATACATAAACCCTGCCGACACGGAACAAATGAAGTAAACAACACGATGGTAATGGGAATGATACGTCAAATATGTGAAGACTTCAAAGGGAAAAACCTGATATTCATGGGAGATTGGAATACAGTCTCACCAGCCTGGCAGAAAGACTACTCGACAGGCCACGCGAGTGGAAGACGAAGAATAGTGTTAGAGAAATGGCTTAACGACTACAACTTGAGACCAATAACAAACAACTTTCATACGACATTCAAGAAATCAAGGAACGTATTGGACATGATATTCACCACAACAACAATCGAGACCATAAATCCGAGGCTGATAGACGAAAAGCACTCGGACCACTACAAGATAACGACAACAGCCAGAATGAAAAGATCAAACAAAAAAGAAACCACATCAAAAGGAAACTAATGGGATCGTGGAAACTGAAGTTGAAAGAAATGAAAACGAAAAGCGATAAGAAATCGACTCTAATACAAAACTGCAAGAAAATAATCAACTTCCCGGACGTTCATGGCAAATGGATCTACACGAGATGTAAGAGAAACAAATTCAAAAGACTAACCACTGAAAGAAGGAAATTAGAAAGAAAAAGAAACAGAGATACGAGAGAAGATCGCCGATTAAAAGAAATAAGGGAAGAAATAAAACGGAAGATGAAATCATATTCGATAAACCGAACGCTGAACAACACCAAAGACTCGAAAGTAGTTTGGAAAACTCTGAATAAACATCTGCTACTAGGCAAACCGAAGATAAATTGGGATGAGCCGGTGACCAAGAAAAGCAAGAGAAATGGCTCGAAAACTTCACCAGCGATAGACCAAGTTACAAAGACGAACCAATCGGGGTGAAAGGCGTACTGAGAGACGAAGAGGAAAATCATAGGGATGAGATTCAAGACATCGAGCCTAACGGCCGACACCTTCTCAATAAGCAACTGGAATCAGTTTTTTAAAAGAAACAAACAAGAAATAGTGGAACTGATTGAGAAAATATTCTCGATATCGCACGTACCAAACGTGGTCACAACACTGGGCTGCGGGTTTGTAACCAAAGCAGACGGACTAAACCTACGAATGGTCCGCTCGCCAAACTACTTATATAAGATAATCGACAAGATACTCGCCGAACGACTACTGGAAATAGCGGACGATTACCTGATGAAGAAACCCAATTTGGATTCTGTAAGGAAAGAGGAGAGAGGACTACTTTTACCAAATATGGAAACACAGAGAGTTAGAAACCTCGACAATCATAAAACTAGATGTTAGTAAAGCTTTTGACTGTGTAAGCCTAGCCCCGATCTGGGATCGGCTGAGTGGTGATCGGTAACTCAACACTGAGCCTAATCCAATCAGCGTATTCGAACAGATGGCTCACGTACTACGATGACGGCAAGAATTATACATGAAAGACACATCGAGCGCAGCACAAGGCACCTCGACATCACCAATCTTATTCGTATTTGCTCTAGACAATGCGATCAGAAGACTGAGAGCAAAGAACATCTTCATAATATCCTTTGCCGACGACATGGTGATACTATCGGAACCAAGTAAAGTGAGCGAAACCATGAAAGAGGTAGAGGTGGAACTGGCAAAGATAAACCTACAGCTCAACAAAGAGAAGACAGAGATCTACCCACCGAGGAAAAAGCAATGGCTGGAGCTAATAGGCTTCGACCTACCAAGAGGCAAAGTATCAGCGACAGAAATACGAACGAGAATGCAGAGAACATTCGAGGAGGAAGTTCACCCAAGATTGTCAAAGGACTGGCCAGAAATCAGAAAACTCAAACCTCAAATCAAGAAACTACTCTCGAATTCGATTCTAATGCCGGCGATGTACAAGAACGTACTTTGGGCCGCGAGGGACGAGAATCGAATGATCGAAATCATTCAAAACATGGGAACGATAATGAATCGATTCTTGGGGAAGAACCCGAGAAACAATCGCTGGCTACACCTAATAGAGGGTTACTACAACATCGTGGAAACGGCGATAAGTTACAACTACCGATGGGAATGGCGAAACAGAGGAGAAAACGAAGAGGGCATCAAATGGGCGGAAGACGAGTATGTACCACTAAAAGAAATAACATGGAGACGAAGAGAATTGAACGGAAGAAAAATCAGATACATGACTTACAACAAGGGGATACTGGTGATGATCGAAACGGATGGGAACCAGGAGTATGTGCGAGTGGAGATCGAAGGAAAGAGGAACAGATTCAGTATGACGATATCGGGCCTGGAATGGATCGTAGAGAACTTCGGGAACGAAAGAACGACGATAGAGTTAGACGAGATATCAACCAAGTATCTATATGGAGAATCAAATTTTGCGAACGGGATAAGGCGCGCACTCAAATCACCGGGAGAATGGACGTTTATACCATACGAGAGACCGTGGCAATGGAGGGAAATCGGCTCGTTGGACTCACCTCTTCTCAACCCAAGGAACAACAACCTGGAACAAGAAAACCTGATAAATAAGAAAACAAAAGAAATAATGAGAAAACTTTACAATAAAGGAAAACTCAATTCAACATGTTTAATTACCAACTTGGAGACCAACTCACAAAAGGAAAAAAAGAACTAATGAAGAAAATGACGAGCTACAAGATACAAATGGACTGCTGCGGAAAATCTAAACAACCATTAATACATTTCCTGGACGAATGCGAATGGATGAAACAACAAATACCAAACCCCAGAGATAATCAAGAAACCGATCAAAGATTGGAACAGAGAAGAACTAAGCAAAATGGCGAAAGCATATGACATAATCAGAAAAAGCCAAAAGAATTATGTAAAAGAAATTATGTAAACCGCGGTCGAGATCATGTGACCGCTAGAGGGCAACACCCGAGGTTGCCCAGTCATATGACGACCGTAAAGGTCTAAACAAATAAAATCTCACTTCATTTCTTTATTTATTTTTTAATTCTTTTTTTCATTTTCATCAATCAACATTTAATTTTCTTTCTCCATCATAATTAATTCTTCTTTCAGATTAACCACCAAAGACTTTATTGTGATAAACAATTTGTGATTCTTTTCAACAGATCAACAGACTAATTAACTAATAGTGATCGCGTTTCAATCACCATATTCAGTGAGTGTCTACAAATCAGCGAATCATTTTGCTAATTTTAATTCATCTTATTTTCTCTTACATTTTCTACTTAATCCTTAATCCTAAATCTCTCTCTCTCTCTCCTTTATCTCCATGCAAGGTCTTCCATCTCTCTCATTGATGGATTAATCTTCCAATAAACACTCGGAATCACCAGAACTCTAGTCTGTTCACTGTTTCAATTTCACTACCTGTTAATTGACTCTCATATTTGCTAAATCAGTGAAAAGGTACGTGTTTATTTGGTGAGAATTTGCTTGATTACCAGTGAACCATATCATGATTTGATCTTATTTAAGTCTATTTTTCATTCTCTCTCTAATCTTTTTCTAATTTTTTTTATCCATCTTTCTCTCTCTCTCTCTCCTCTTTTGTTTATCTTTTTAATCATTCCCTTTCCCCTTTCTTTCAAATTAGGCTGCAATCAACGGTTCATTGAATTTCGTTCAAAATTTTCAATCGATTAATCAAAGAAACAGTAAATTAAACAATAGTGCCAAGATCAGAAAATTATTTACTTTTCTGTGCCTTCATATTACTCTTATAAGGTAATGTCTCAATTTATCTCTTGGCATATCAGTGTTATTACAATTAATTGTTCTTCCCCTTTTCTCTCTCTATCTCATTCTTTCAGAGGTGTTTTTTTTCCAACAACAATTTAATTGGTCTCCATTTAATCACCTGACTTGATTCTGTGAAATTATGTGTTTCAATTCATCGGCTACTACCAACACTTAAAATCTTTACATCATATAGGAGATTCCAACCAGTACATCTTTATGGTCTGTGTGTAGTTTTTGGTTATAAACTTTGATTTTTTTTTTTGGACAAAAGACAAAACAATATGAGTGACATGATTGTTCAGTGTTTCACTTGCTGTGTAACTCAACAAACACGATCGGTGGGTGATTAATACATCGACAAATTGGTTCAATATTTTCAGAATTTTTTCTTCATCACCAAACTAATCTGATTTTTATCTCTTTCCTTTTCCTTCTTATTTTTCTCTCCTTATTTTTCTCTCTCTTTCTCTTTTTCTCGTTTTCTATCCTTTGCTCATTTATATCATCATTTATCCTAGAAGAGGCGTAGAAGAATTGATAGATCCATGATTGGAAGCCCTACGAATTTCAAACACACCGCTCATGTTGGATTTGGAGAAATGTCATCTCATGTTAGTTCATTAGCTTCTTGAATTGATTCTCAACCCTCAATGCTCATCAACAATAATCTCCCTGATACTTACCTTAAATTGGAAATAATGAAAATGACTCACATCTGAATGCCCAACATTCAAATAATTTAGCTGATCACACAAGGAATTGATTCTTGATTATTCATTCAATTTACTTACTACCCTCATGTTGATATGATTATATCATCATCATATTATGTGTAGCACTTTAATTTACTCAGTATTTTTTCATTTATTCAATTTCCTGGTACTCTACCCTAGTCTTGTCACATTTTCATTATTTTTGGACATTATTCCGGTTCTCAAGTGATTATGTTGATGAGCATCAGTTGTACATTTTCAATCTATCGGGGCTATTTTATCTTCTATTATTATTAATATTTTTCTTTCTCTCTTATTTTCTATTCTAGATTGATGATCTCCAAAATCAACTGGCATCTAAAGGAGGCTACGAATATGCAATGCCTGTTAGTGTAAAATAGCAATTATCATCCATCTATCAATATTTAACTACGTTTTTAACCGATTCAAAATCATCTAAAATAATTTCTCCCTGCTACATGAAAAGAAAATTAACTCATTCTCTTAGGAATAAAAAGCCAACACAATTAAACCAAATTCTCTTCGATTCTTGGTCAACACCTAATCCACCGTTCATTTGGGCCCTCAGAATCTTTATCCTAATAATAGAATCAATTCAATCACCAACACCAACAATCAGATTTATAAGAAGACAACAAACAAACGGACAACCACATATACCATAAATTTCATCTCATTGAAGGATTTCCAGTGATGCCAAAAAAACCTTGGAGTAACTTTAAAACTTTGGTCTCTCTCTCTCGTTTGTCGAGCTGCAAAATCGGATCATTTATTGGGCCTAAAAAGTTTTTCGCCATTCTCACAACCTTTTCTAAAGCGTTAAAGTAACAATCCTCACCATTTATGACCTTTTTTATCGTTGGTTTTATCGTAATGATGATGTCAATTCTTACATTGAAAGAAACCAATTAATATGCATACGTATGAATAAGCATAATATCTCATGAAAATGTGCCTCTTTTGGTCCAAATCTCTTCCAATTTTCAGTTGGTTTTCATTTTCTTCTTTTTTTCTATTGATTACCTGAATATATCCTACCTGTGGCTGCTGCTGCTCATCATCTCAATCACATTATCATCTCCGTTGAACTTACTTGATAAAGAAACAAAGAAACATCATCTTCCTATTCACCACAATACAAAAAAGTTGATGAGTCCATTGAGCTCTAGTCTTCAACACGGGTGCTTAGTGGATCTAAAGTGACTCAAAGATGTAGATACAATTAACAAAGAGATATAACAACAAGAAAGAAAGATGAAACTGTGAAAACATCAAAACTCAAGCCATATGATAAAATTAATTGTGTGTTAAAAAAGGAAACCCAAAAATCAACTTGATCATCTATTATGAAATTAGTCAACATATTGTTTTCCCATTATCATCATCATCATAATCATCACCCATCAACAACAATTTAACCTTGTTCACTACTTACAACAATCAAAGGAGTTTCCATGTTACAATAATATTATAAAAAGGGAATCTACTACAATATATTATATATATATAAATGTTATCAATTGCAGTTTAAATTATCAACATTAATTTACTTGAAAAAGGATACCTGATATTGAAGCAACGAAACCGAAATTAAATCCAATTACTACACACAAGAGACAATTAGTTACCTAAACGTGATAAAAGATTTGTTGATATTGGAACTAATATTTTACCTTTGGATTCTTCTCAATTTCTCTTTCATTCACTTTCTCCTATCATCATTATCATCTTCATCCTCTCATCAAAAGCCATCATCTTATATTATTATTATAAATAGTTATATTACAACACACTAATTAATTAAATTTGATTCTCTCGATGACATTCATGGAAAAACGAAAACCCTAACTTACTTGTACTAAAAACAAACTGTTATTATTATATTGTGGATTTGATTGATTAACTAAATTGCTCCACTGATTTAGAGACAGAAAATTGTATTTACCAACTTTAATTTCAAAGGAATCAACAATTTACCCTCAAACAACAACTGAAACAAAGCAATCAAGTTACAATTAACTTTTAAATTTAGATTGTGTTTGATTATTTGAAATCAATCACATTTGCTTAGAGTATCAACAAAACAACAAAAACTTAATTACAATCATGTCGATGAACCGAAGAGGAGTTAATCTTAATGTTAATTGTAACAAAGAAAAACAATTAACTATTAAATGTTAATTGTGATGCAACAGAAATTATTTGTAACAACAATTTACTTGAGTAATTTCAAGTTTGATTATCAACTTTTGATTGTAATTAGATGTTGATTTTTTTTGACCAATCATTTCCGTTCCATTGATTGTAACAATCAACACTGAATCATAATAACAATCATGATTGTAATTATGATTTTCAGTTGTAATAGTGAAACAAAAAACAAATGATTAGTTTTTTGTTTGTTTGTTACAAATTGATTGTAATTGTTACGATACAATTACACCTTGATCCATACAAATCAATCAATTTTAATCTAGTTTATGTTGATGTTATTTGTTCAATTAATCGATTCTTGATTAACCTTGGTCATTGTTTTAGCTGAATTAAATTTGACCGAGAAAGTTAATCAGTTGATTTGATAATCAATTAACTAATTGAAAGTTTTATTCAAGTCAATACAATAATAATATCAACCATTATTTTACCGTTTAAATATTAATAGTAACCCGATTGTTGAAAAAAAGGAGACATAAATCGCTCGAACAATTAACTCAGTAATAATTTATTTTCGATCACAATTAACCAAATCACCCGATTAACCAGATAGCCAGCCGAGTGGACCGGATGGATGAGCGGCCAGTATCATGGGCATCATCACAATCGCACCCGCCATTGTTACAAACATTTGATTAATTGTTCTGACAACTGCTCCGGGAATAGCGATGATTATGTCGCTTAATCCAATCAGACTTGGCTTAATTGTTCCCTGTTCATTAAAATTACCTTTAAGATCACTTACTTGGGATGAAGCTGAAAATAGATTGTGAAGATTTTGAAGAAACAAAATCAATTGACTTGACATAAGATTTGATTAACTTTTAAAATTTACTTACATTGGTCGATTGATTTAGCTGAGCTAATTGTTACCATTAGAGTCAAGGCAATCAAAACAATCAAATTATAATTCATTTTTCTTTTATCAATTAATCAGTTGAAACGCTAGTTTATTATAGTTAACTGTTGGTGAAAAGTAAAGGGTTAAATTGTAAACGTGGTTTTTAAATTCATTTCCTGATTTTAATGATAATTTTGTTGTTTTCTTGATTCTTGATTTTCAAGTTCAGTTGAATAATTGATACTCTTATAATTCATGAAGTTAATTAGAATTCAGAATTTGATTAACTTTCTCTTTCTGACCCAGTTAATTGTTGATAAATAAATGATGAGCTTTTAATCAGCAGTTTAATGGATACAATTTCTTAATCACCAAAGGCGATCAGAGCTCTTCAGGCTTGAGGAAATCTTCTCGAATCTAATTAATCTTGTGCGTTAATTGTTGCTCTCGATATTCGAATCGATTATGTTTATTTATTGACTTTCGAATGACAATTAACTAATTTTCTCCACCCGAAGGTGAAAAATTAGTTGATTTTAGTGAATAACTTTACTTGTCAGCATTTTTTTTTCGTTCTCTCTCTCGAATTGTAATTGATTGTCCATTGTCTTTTCTTTTAATTAATGAATATTTATTAGTTACAATTTGGATTCCATGGTCAATACCCGAAAGTAGAAAATATCAATCAGGATTTTCCAATTCGTTAGTAGAATAAAAATAATACAAAGCAAAAGAAAATGCTGACATAGTAATTGGAAATTTAGAATATGAATATTTTTTGGAATGTTTTTTTTTCTTCTCTTCAGTTATTGTAAATTTTCATTTGTTCGAGGGAAAATTTTTCGATAATTATCACAATCAGCGAATAAATTGTAGTAATAATATTTGATTCGATTAAAGAAGAAAAGTTAAGTATCGTCAAAGTTGTTTGTCCGTTTGTTGTACGATCGTCGATATAAATTGGATTGAGCACAAATCATGATAACCATTCAATTTAACTTGGTGTTTCCGTTGAGGTCAATGTAATTTCAGCATTAGATCCATGTGATGTGGATGAGGTCAAACTGTTCTCAATACTATTGGTCGATTCGGATTCGGTAACAACGCTTTCCACTTTATTCAACATGAGAGAGACAAAATCAATTATCGATTCCTGATGGACATCAAACTCTCTTCTCAAGGGCAATTCACTGTCAAATTGGCTCAACTTTCGTTTACCGGAAGACATGGTGATCAATACAATTGTTTTAAGATACAAAATTCACTCGATAAAATATAGAAAACCAAATCACAGGAAAAGACAATCAAACGAAGTAAAGATTTTGTTGAGGAAAAAAGCAAATATAAAAAAGATTATGTTGACAACCTGTAAACAAAGAGACAAAGGAAAAATGGATGAGAATCAATGAAACATATAAACTGATACGTGAAGAAAAAGTATTCCCAGGTAACAATTGTTGTCTACCTTTAAAGAAGAAAATGATTAAAGTGTATTAACTCTCCCCATTATCTCCCATGTTAATAAAAAAAAAGAATAACAATTTGATGATAGTCACAATTAACGAAGCAAAAGAAAAATCATTTTCCACCAAACCAGAAAATCAAGTAAACAGAAATTCTTTTCTTTACTCACCGTTAGATGGAGCTCAAAGTTGGAAATCGAAACGAAATCAATTAAAATCTAACAATTAGTAGAAGATGAGAAAAAAATCCAAACAATCAACCTTGAAGAATGACAATTAACCTTCCACTGATTTAAAATACTCCAATTTCCAATTACTGTTCTACCAATAGATTTGAACGGAAGGAGTAAAAAAATTTATTCTTTTTTTTGTTTGCATTGGAAAATCAATCAATCCAAATTTCTTTTCTTTTTGAAAAACGCGCCAATTAAAAGTGAAATTCTACTTACCCATAAATGGGGCGGTCGCTCTCTTGTCTTACTTTAATTGTAACTTTTTCATTGTGACTCAAGTCTCTCTCTCTCTCTCTCTTTCTTTGTTTCGTTTTTCTGTTTATCGTTGCTAATTAATTGCAATTACTAATTAACTTTTCTTACCATGGCTCCTGTTATTGGTTATTGGAATATCAGAGGTGTAAGTAACTTTTAATTGTAATTAGTTGGTTTTTCTTTTCTTTCCCTTGATGTGAAATGTGAACCTACTATTATTCTGTTTGTTACATAACCTTTTCCCTTATTCAATACCTTGATTTTTTTTTCTTTTCTAATCTCTTCAAATAATTGTCTTGATTATTTTATTTATTTATTTTCTCTTCAATTAGGTTTGTAATTGCTTGTTCCTAAACAATTAATTGATTGTCGATCCTTATTTATATATTGTATTTCAGTATCGTTACTTTGTTTCTCTTTCAAGTTTTCTTTCCTTAATCCATGTGACAAAGAGATATTTTATTACATTTTCTTTTTTTTCTATCTTCTTTTTTTCTCCATTTTTTTTTAAATATCAATTTCTTTCTAGTTACGTAGTTATTTCTATTTATTCAACTATTAGGGATTCAGTAATAGTGTTACTCTTGTTTTCTTTTAGAATTTAAAGTTATTCAGATTCTCCGATTTCAATAGTCTGAGGGCTTTACTCTTTTAGCGGCTTTCTTTTTCTTTCTTTTTCTTTCTTTTTCATTCTTTTTCACTCTCTTTTTCTTGTTGCCATGGGCTTGAAAAGAAAGTGTTAAAAGATAAGATTAAATTGCAACTATTTTCACACCGTTGCCTTGTTCACAAGTTACATTCTCTCAAATTGTAATCACTTGGTTAATAGATTAAATTGTTAAAAGCTAATCTAAATTCATAAGGTGTTACAATTTCATGCTGTTTAAATTGCTATGATTTGATAGCTGCAATTTTTTTTTATCTAATTTTATCTAAAGTTAATTCTCTCGTGACAATGTTTCCGTTGGACTCAATTAACTTTATGTTGCATTCTAATTTACTCTTATCAATCTGAATTAGCTAATCAATTTCTTCTGATATAAACCGATTATCTTACTGTCTTTACTTAATCACGGTTTGTTTCACTGTGACAATTTTCTTTATTCTTTGTTGCAAGTGTGTAATTAGTTTAATTCTCCATAACTACCCGAATGACCTATGATACATGTATATTAATTTACTCTAATTAGATGATTTCTAATTCGTTAACTTGATCATTTACTTTTTTTCTTTTTTTCTTTTTTCCTTACATTTTCTCTTTACGTCTGGTTTTCTTTCTTTTAGTTGGCCCAACCCATTCGTCTTCTTCTTTCTTACAAAGAGGCTGTTTTCGAAGACAAACGTTATAATTATGGACCCGCTCCTGATTTCAGCAGAGAAGAATGGAATAAAGAAAAGTTCACCCTTGGCTTAGCTTTCCCTAATCTTCCCTATTTCATCGATGGTGATACAAAGTTAACTCAAAGTAAAGCGATCATTAGACATCTTGCTCGCAAGTATGAACTGGATGGTCAAAATGAGGCTGAAAAACAACGAATTGACCAGATCACTTATGAGTTGACTGATATGTTCAGTTCATTTACCTCAATGTGTTACAATCCTGATTTTGATAAACTCAAACCTGATTATATCAAAGGTCTTCCAGAAAAATTGAAATCGTTGGCTCAATTTTTAGGCGAGAATAAGTTCGTTGCAGGAGAGCACATCTCATTTGCTGACTTTATTCTATTCGAATTTCTTGACCAGCACCTTTTCTTACTTCCAAATTGTCTCAATGAGTTTCCAAACTTGAAAGATTTTCATACCTCATTCAAAGCCTTACCAAACATTGATAAATACATGAAAAGTGACCAATATATTAAGTGGCCTCTCAATGGTGATCGAGCAAAATTCGGAAGTCGACACAATCCTCCGGAGGAGTAAAGAAGATTCTTGACGGAAACACTTAACATTCCAATGGAAAAAGAAATAACCAAAATATCTCAAAGTATAAGTGACGTCAATTGAAAACGAATCAACAAAAGAAAGAAAAACATCTTGTTAAAATGTCCATGTTCTCATGAAAGAAAGAAGAAAATTCTTTCGTTACAGAATTTCACATAAAGTTTTCTCAATAATTATTGACTCTCTTTCTCTCTGCGGTCAACAACCAGTAAGCAAAATCATCAATTTCATTATCCACAACTAAAGTTGATGAAAGTTATAGTAATCAACACGTTCAGCAATCACGCATAGTCAGACAAGATATTCAAGTTAATTTACACCGATGGAGAGGAAAAGAAAGAAATTATTATGTATTGTCATCTTAATTACAAGTTAACATTTGCCATTAATTGTATTCTTTTGTACTTTCATTATCCATAACCAGTGATAATGAAAAGAGAAAACAAAAAGTACAAGGTTTTCAGAGAACGTGACGGTTCAATAACGACCAGTAATCACGCGATTATCACAATATTTAATAATCTAATGAATATAGTTGACAATTTACTCTAAACAATTAATATCATAATTCTGATGACAATTAACTTTCCACTAGTTTGGGTCAAGAGATTGACCATAATTACTTATCGATCTAAATAGCAATTCAGTCAATTAACATTCTCAACTAATAACATTTTCTATCTAAACTAATTATTAATACAAGTTGAATTCTCTGATATTTCCAATTGGGAATACCAAAGTTTCAAAGTTCACTCTCATTGAGTAAAATAAACACCAGAACAGAATAATGCTAATAGTATCTCTTGGAACTATTCCAGCGACTTAGAACTTTTCGCAAATGTTCCCTTTGATCGCAATCGATTTTACTTGCTCGAAATTTCGGCCTCAAGTTCGAAGTAATAAAAAGTTTCTTTTGTAAAAATTTCCGATAGTTTTCAAGTGCAATCGTGATTCCATCTAGAATTGAGAATCCAAACCAAAGACCCAAAATACTTCCAGCGTAAATAAGATATTCGGCCAAAGTAAATGCTGGATAAGCGATAGTGGTTTGAACAAATTCTGTTGGAGATTTCATGTAGATAATATAGAAATTGACATCAAAATTCTGAAGAATATTCTTTAAGGTCGACGAGAACGAAATAAGTCTTCGATTAACTAGAGAATAAGTAACACGTTCACATTCAGGTGCTTGAATCTTTTCTCACATTTGGTGTACGTTTCCAGGTCACCGTCAGTAGAATCATAGAAACTACTGTTCGTATTCATCGAATACTTTTCCCATTCGTATAATGCGGTTTTACTCATGTGACTCCGATTCTTGGACTCATCCGATTCTATTATACAATCATGAAGTATTCTTAGTCTATCATAATGATGACAGTTCGTTTCATATGGATATTCAAGTGATCTGAAGATTGACTTTTTATACTTCACTACGTGTGCTGAGATTTTCTCAGTAAATATCAGATAATTATCAAAATTATCGTCAGGTTGAATTTTAGGATCACTGAATCGTAATCCAAAAGGAATAAGAGTGAGAAATCTGATCATCGCTCGATATTGGCTCATTTCGTACTTTTTCTCGCTGAAAATTTGGTTGTTATTTTTACAAACAATTCGAAAAATAACCGCAATGCCGCTGAAATAGATCTTTTTTCTGCATTTGTCAGTGACTTTTGTGTTTTTACGATTTTCAAGCTCCCAAAAAACGTCATATTCTAGGTCATTGAACAAATTGAGTTCTTTCATGACTCCGATTGTAATGGATTCACTAATAGATTCCCAAAGTTGGCTCATTTGTGGAATTAGTTTCATACATTTATTGATAACTGAATCATCTTTTTCGAAAAGATTATTCATTTTATTGAAATAATCATGACGCGTTGACGAATTTAAAATCTTTTCTGAATATCTGAAGCAAAGTTCAGTTAAATTCAGAGCCGAAGAAGCAGGAAAATAGAGATCGATTGCTGGTAACTCAACGGTTGTCAATTCTTCGAATGTCACATCATTCCGAACTTTGAATGCGAAAAATTCTTTCGTTATTATGAACAATTGAATCGAACAACCAATCAAACAGAACAATTTAACGAATAATATTAATCTTCTCATCTTGGCAAAAAAAACACACATAAAAAACTAACTTTTCCTCTTTAATTAGGAGTAACACCAATATCATTGATAAATATTCAAAATTATCAATAATAATATCAAAATTCTCATTTATCGATTACTATGAGATTGAAAAACAAAATCTTAAATAAAATATCAATTAAATTGATAGTTTTGAAATCGATTTGGTAATAATATTGTTTTGAATCTTTGAGTTGAAAAGGAAATAAGCAAATGACTCGTTTAATTATTTAAATTAATCGATCGTAAAATCTCACAACTTTTAAATCAATTGTTTCTCATTTATTCATGAAATCGCCGCGATTCTCACTAAAAAAAACGCAAATTTCATTGATTAACTTTTTCTCTCTCCTTTCTATTCAATATTATGGCCTTATTCTTGAATCGGAACTTCTCATGAACGGAACTTTTCAGATTGCGTTCCAATATTTTTCTGTTTTTTACGATTTTCGGCAGAACTTTTTGTTATTAACCTTACTAATACCCTTGTAGCTTGAGCACAGTCTTTACAAGTACTTAGAAGGTACAAGTTTAATCAACCAATCTCATAATTAATTGACAAGTTAATTTAATTAATTTTCCACTTACTGGTCAATATAATTGCAGAAAAATTTAGTTCAGTTTTATCTTCTTCTTACTGTTGTAACTATCAAATTTGATTGTGGAAGAGAAAAGATTTTCATTAATTAAAGTTAACATGTAATAACAAGACAGAACAGTTTATTATTTAAATCAGGGTCAAAATAATCAGTTTGACTTAATTGTTGTTCACAATTTAATTACGAGTTTAAAGGTTAAATGATTGATACAGACTTGAAGAAGAAATGAAATTACAATTGAATGATTTGATTGACATGATATTTAGTTACGAAGGTTAATTGTTGATAACAGAGTGAATGATGATTAGGATGACACTTAGATGATTAAATTTTCAATTTAAACAGAGAGAGAGAGAGGGAAAGTAAAATTGTCTTTGACTGTTAACTTGCCTCGAGGTATTGTTGATCAATTGATTTTGATGATGTTTGATTTAGACAATCAGCTGATTTCTCCGTAGGCATTGAATTATTCATTGACTTTGGTGAATTTGGCAGTTTAACTGTTTGTTTAGAATCAACAATCAACGGTTGATTAATGGAGCTTCTTATTAAATTTAAATTGTTATCAACATTATCGCTTCTAACTCCATCACAATTAGTTTCCACTCGTTGTTGTTGTTGTTGTTGTTGCTCTTGGTGGTGAAGATAATGATGAAGATGAAGATGATGATTTACCATTGAGGATAACTTTGATTACACAAAACAAACCACCTAAACCAATAAACACTAGACCAATAATCTGAGAAGGTAATTTAATTGTTACAATACCAATTAGAAGAAAAATTAATCCGATTGCCAGGCAACCGAAACCCGAGTAGATTAAAAAAGTTAAACCATTTTTATCTTCACTTGAGATGTTTACACAATCAGATGAATTATGATTACGATCAATTGATTTATTTCCTTGTTGATTTGATGAATTATGATGATGATGATGAAGATGATGAGGATGATAATAAGATGTTGGCAAATGATGCAACTGATGACCGGCGATATAACTACCTCTTGCGAAAGGATCGCCGATCAGTTTTCCTTGGCGATTCTTTTCCCGCTCTCGGCGAACAGCAACCGCTGGCATAGCCGAAATCATCTTCGATAAACAAACAGTTAACTCTCAACGTTATTGATTGAAATTAATTTTCTTCTTCCCTCTAAACAATTAACCAACCATTCAACTTGTAATGATTAGAAGCCAGTTTAAAATTGATGATTTAAGACCTAGTAACTAATAATAATTAAATTTGATTCTCTGGTTTTCCTTTTTCTCCTCTTTGATTTCAACGTTAAATTTTCTGGATATTTTTGGGTAACTATTATAATAATTAACTGAACATATTATGTAAACATCACAATTTAACATCAACAACACATGAATCTATCAGATGCTGATTCCATTGTTGATTAACTAATTAAGATGTTGATAGTGTTTAAAGTAAAACTGTTGTTGTTGTTGATCACTTTACTGTTTTCAGATTCAAATCAACGTGTTGCTTTTTCAATTGTTCAAATGGTAATTTACTTGTTACACCAAAACAATAGTAACTTGGTGAGTATTACAGAGGAATTACAATTAACCCGGTTTGCTGATTTCTCATTGAATTAACTGTTTTTTTGTCACAATTTCTTTTCCAGTGATTGATGTTGGTCACAAGTAACAACAATGATGTTCAACGTTGGCGTTGATTGTGGTGGATTAACTTCACTTTCAATGTAATCCTGAAACTGGAATAAATATATTTATATATATAAAGAAACAAAAGGAATTAAAGTGCTCGAAAAAAATAGGAAACACTGAAAAGAAGAAGACAAAAAGAAAATTAGAAGAAAATGATAAAAGGAAAAGGAAAAGAGGCGGAAAAAGAATATGATGAAAATGGAAAAACAAAGCTTAAGAAAGAAGATGAGGATAAATCCAAGAGAAGAATATGAGTATATAAGATAAAGAAGTCAAGCTTGGTGATGATGAGAATATAAGTAAGTGAGCAAAATGGAATAAGAATGGTAAGGAGAAGAAAAAAGTTCTTTTGGGATGTTTATATTGTAAAAAGAACGAAAGAAAAAAAGAGGAAACAGAAATGATGGAAGATGAGGTTGGTGGTGGAAAAGGTTTTCTCTTCTTGAAGCAACAGCCACATTAAAATCTTCAATGAGTCTAACCGAGTTTCACAGAGTTCCAAAGTATCATCTATCGACTGAGTTCAGCTCATGCTTCATGTTTTCATCATCATCTTGTTCATCTTACATTAACTCTATTCAACTGTTTTTCCAACGATCAATTCTCATCTTCTCTTTCTCTCATCTTGTTTCTCTTTCATTCGGCAACTTCTATTCTCTCTCGAACTCTCTTCACAAGTCCTTCCCTTTCACTTTAATCATCATTATCATCGAGCATTAATTTACCTTTGATAATTCAGTTCATTTCAAGTCACTGAACAATTGGTCCAGTTAGAATATAATCAAACCTTAGAATGAAAGAGATTTCTGTCCAACTCCCATTCCCTGAAACTCCTTTTCCTTTTTAATTTCTCCTTCCTATTCTCACTCACCTTCACTCTCTTCTCACTTTGTCCACTTCAATCAACAGCAATGGTCATTCTGTTAATTAATACAAAGAGAATGAGAGAGAAAATTTTTTCTTCTCTTTTCAATCCTCAATTTATTTCTATTATTTACCTTTCCAACTCTCTCAATCTCATCACCACAATCTCCAAATTCACCTTAAATTCTGATAGTTTTTTACATTTCATGTCATAACCATTCGCTCAACGAACACTAAACTTATCTGTTTATGAAATTCTACAATGAATAATAGTCGAGGATCTTATCTCTTTTCTGTTTATTCAACGATCTCCTCATCATCATCATCATCATCATCATCATCTCTCTCTCTCTCTCTCTCATGGAATCGCCTTTTTATCGTCTATTTAGATCTCATTTTTTTCTTTCATTCTTTTTTTCTCCTACCTTCCTCTGGAACAATATTAATGATAATAACCAACTATGATAATGATAATGGTAATATTAATAATAGTAATATAATCATATTATCATTATCGTCATGATTAACATTATTATCATCATTACAATTCTCTTTTTAACTTGAATTTCAATTCAATCCTCCCAACCATTGATTCTCATCTTCACAACAATATATCATCTTTCACTGAAAAAAAAACATATCTGATTGTTCAACTACCCATACAGTTTAACCATCTAATCCTTTAATCAAATTGTATCATCAGGATTGATCATTTACCCTTTTTCTCATTATCATAACTCTTGTAATATAACCTTTCAACCTCAACGATAACCATAAGCATTTGTGTCTCTCTCAACCCTTGAAGCGCATATTAGGCCTTAATTGTTGGGTAATTTATATTTACTTTCTGATTTTTGCTCTTCTTTTTTCAACAATTATCACGATGAGGATGAGGAAGAAAAAGCCATTAGATATTAACTTTTCTCTTCTTCTTTTTTTATCTTTCCTTCTCAACTGAATCATTTTTTCCTGTTCAACTTTATCCTTCTCATGATAACTCAGAATTTTTCTTTTCTCATCTTTCACTATCATATATATAAATAAAATAGTTTCCATGATAAAATCACATGTATTTAATACACTTCAAAATGGGATAATGTTAAATGAAAGAAAACAAAAAAAAATATTACATGAAAATCAATCTGAACGAAAATATTTCCATCAGATGAAAATTGGAAAATGGAAACAATCATGAAAATCCATCAAAGCGATACTGTTAATTCAGTGATATTTTAGCTTTCATACACTTTCACTTAACATTATCAAATTGTTTCAATATGATTATCATTTAATCAGCCCAATCAATCATTAATATCAAAACAATATATCACTTTAGCTGATGAGTTTACAAGATAAAAACAATCAACATCTTTTGTTGGTGAAAAAACTAACCAGTAACTCCATTGATTAGCGACTCGATTACCATTGAACAATTAGTTAAATTAAGACTTGAACACCAAAGAATCCGAATAGTCCAAAGATACAAAAAGGAAAACCAATGCCAAAGGATGCTACTAGATTTCGAGACAATTATTAAAATAGTTGAGAAAATGAACAAATAATATCCTAAATATTAGCTCAGGTGATTAGAGTATTTCTAATGATAAAATGATCAAAATTGAAGATTCTAAAGGTTTAATTGATTGATGATCTTCTACTCTTGCACTTGGTGATTGAATTTGGATTTGCTTTCACATGAATTTTGCCATGAAACTGATGACTACTGAGAAAGTAATCAATTTCCGTAGTGACTCCTGTCAGTTTGATTACCTGTTAACTGTAAAAATTACATAAAACAATATCCATTAAGTTAACCCTTTATTGTTATCATTAACGATCAAGTTGACAACAATGTTGACATGAAATTGCAAATTAATATAAAAGCAATAATAATAATCTGAATGTTGTCAATGACGTAAAATTTACAGATGATGAAAATGATAATAAGATGATTCTGGTGATAAAGAAGATGAAAAGTACAAAAGGATGAGGAAGACAAAGATTCAAAGGTCTGATATTAAGTATAGTCAATATTATGATCTGAATGATGTTTATGATGATGATAATGATGATCTCTATAAACTCAATGAAAAGGTTGATTATGATGAAATAAATGGCAAGTTGAATGCGATTCACCAATAAAAGGACTTGTCATCATCTTCTTACAATGATAATGATTAAACATGGCGATGGAGATGATGAATGTTGATATACAACATGGACACTCGTTTTCATCCTCATCCTCATCATCATCAGAATATTTTCCTTTCTTTCTTAGAGTCTTTTCCTTTTTAATTTCATCGTCATCATCATCATGAAAACATCATCATGAGTGGTTAGCCTGAAAACCCAATTGAAGTTGTGTTTACTTTCATTTCCTACTATGGATTCAATGAATTCATTCAATGGTATTATCATGTTTTCAACAATCAACTATGTTAAAATTACCACAGTCAAAGCCACACCTTATAATTTATTATTATTTACTCATAATTTAATAATATTTGCTTCAAGTTGATTGTTCATCATCATGATTAAAGTTTATCATGATACCAGACAAAACTAACTCCCAGTTATTATTAATATACTTTTTTTTTGTCTTCTAATACTTATCCTTGTTGATTATGCTCGCAATTTAATTTGATTATGTTAATTCATCTATTTTCGTGTCTCTTTTTAATCATTTAATTATCTCACAAATCAGTCATCATCATCATAATCATTATTATTAATGATAATCATTTGAAAATTAAACATTTACAAATTGAATTGAATTGAAAGTTTTTCATTCAAATTCAAATCTATTCATTCAGTTGTCTCCATGATTATTGTTATTATCATTTCAATTTAACTTTTAATTTAATTTAAAGCTTTTTTATGGACAGAAATTGTTAATTCGGTTAAATTTGTAAATATTTCTGATTCATTTTTACACACAATCAGCTGATTTGTTGAGAAATCATCAAAATTTATTACTAACAATTGAAACAGTTACTTTCTAATGCAATAAGTAAAAGATGAGGGCCAATTTAATCACAATTAGGGTTGAGATTATCAAATTGTCTCAGTTGTGATATTTTTTTCCTCTATTGGTCTAAAGTAATTAGTTTAATTGTGCTGAAAGTTTTACTAGTAGTTCGATTCAATTTAGATTCAATGATTATATAATGATTTCTTTTGATACTATTAATACATTAGGAATCCAGAATCAATTTATCATCTTTGTTATTTAACTTATTAAGAAAAAAATTGTTTTATTAATAGTAACTATTAATAAATTTGATTGTGAGAAATGTTTATGACTATAGCGCCTCTTTGGTCACAATTAACAAATATTCGCTAACAATCAAGTTAATCATGAATTATCAAGTCTTAAATATTCACTTGATAGAAACAAATTGAATATAAACAATTAATTTGAAATGATTAGCTGATCATTGCCATTGATTGATAATAGTAACCAAAAGAAAGTTTAATCCAATGGATTAACATTAGGATTGATTGGTTTATAACAGCTAATTAATAGTTAAAATTTTCAGTTGAAGATTTTATTTAAGCTCAAAATTTAATTGCAACTAATTAGTTAATTTAAATTTCTTTGAGATGTGAATTTAATTGTAATCAATTTAACTTGAATGGAAACCGTTAGATGGCTTAAGCTACAATCAAATTTAACCAAATCAATCAAATTTAGTTGATAACTAAGATCAAACAACCACAAATCAAGCTAATCAAAAATACTTGAAATTATTAAAAAAAAACAATGGAAAACAAATATTTCAATTAATCAGAGCAATTAACAAATTAACATGAATCAAATCAAAATGTTTCGTGATGTTATTAATAATTGTCAATCAATGTGATCAAAGTTTCTAAATAATTAACAATCAACGGTGAAATATACAATACAAGACTTTTAGTTAGTCAATACCAAGAGAGTAACAATTTACAATTAAAGTTGATTATTCCCAATGACATTAATAAATAACAATAATTGTGACACAATAAAGATGAAAGAAAAAATTGATTTTGAAAATTGTGACCAAATTTGGAGTCACAATCAGGTAAGAAAATTAAAAACTTGTGGGTGACAATTAAGTTAAATATTGAAATCGACAATCAAACAATCAAAAAACAAGTACAACCCGTAAGATAAATATTTGATTGTTGATTGTTAATTGTAATGAAAATTAATCAAAAATTAAAGGCCAAGAGAAACTAAGAAATAAAAAGTAATTTTTATCCAAGAAAACAAAAAGTTTGTGACGAAAAAAAAATCCCGAAGTAAATAAACAACAATCGTTGATTGCAAATCGTAATTGTAAAAGAAATAATAACAAAACAATTTAGGGATAATTGTGCCAAATGATGATGATGATGATGAAGGAGTAAATCTAACAAGGTGAATGGAAAGTAAGAAAACAAGTTGATGATGAAGATGAAGATGAAGATGAAGGTAGGATGAAAATTGTAGGTGATGAGGATGAGAGTTAATCATGATGATGATGATGATGAACAATTCAATTGATTCAACGTCTTATTGTCAATTTTTGCAATAATTTGCCAACTTTCTCTTGTCTGATTACATCCCTTCCTTATCATCATCCCCACCATCACTATTATCATCATCATCCTCTTTCTCACTCTCTTTGTTACCTGATCAACAACTTATCGTTTTTTTTTATCATCATCATCATCAGTAAATCAGGTTAAAATTTCATATTGTACTAAATAATCTTGATAAACTTGATTACTATTCTGATCAATGCAATTGTTTACTTATTTTCATCATCATCATCATCATCCTCTCTCTCTCTCTCTCTCCTTTATGATTGAATCAAATTTAGTATCAAATGATACAGAATTTTTACCTTTCTCTTTAACCCTTACCCTACCATAGATTAGTCTCATCAATTTATCTCATCTGACCATCAATTATTTAGATACTTGATTCGGGCACAATTTAGAACTTGTCAAAATTATAATCTATCGATTATTGTTTATGATATACTTTAAATTAACCTTAAATTACCAAAATTTTGTCCGAACAGTTTAAAATCCACCTTAAGAGTCTGTCCGATTGTCCAATTTTCAACATACTTCCCACTTTCTTATTAATCAAAGGAAAAACCTTCTCTCTCTCTCTCTCTCTCTTCTCCTCATCTTCATCTTCATCATCTTCCTTTTCTCTCCCTCCTTTTTTTCTTATTTTTTTTATCATCCTCCCTCTTCTTTTCATCCTCAATCTCTTTCTTTCTTCTTATTCTTCTGTCAACTTTACATTCAGGTCAATAAGTTACTGTTGTTTTCGGAGGCTAAACCAATATCAACCTTAACCGTTAAAGTAACCATCATGTATCAGAATTTTCATCGATAAACTTTCAACGTTTTCATTTTCATCTTTATCTACACCATCATCTTTCCCCTTGGAATAGGATATTCATCATTCATTTTCCTAGTAAGTTATTTTCCATCATTCACTTAATTTCCTTATCCTTACAGAGAATCAATTCGTTGTCCCTCTCTTTCTTTCTTTCTTTCTTTCTCTTTCTCTCTCTCCAAACTTGTTAACTTTAAAAGTTTTAAATGAATAAACAAAATGTCAACAAACGATCAAATTAACATTAAATCTAACGTTTTAATTTGTTATTGTGAGGAAAACTATTTAAATTGACTTTGTATTGGGTCAAATCAACTTGAAAAAAAGGGTTCATCACAATTAAGATTACAATAACGTTCAAGATAAAAGTTTTTAACCTCTAGGGGCAGATGGAGCCACAGATCGAAAGAGAAAAATTTCTCTTTCGATTCTTTCAATGTTCTTTGTATCTACTAGCGCCATCTTCCTTTTAACAGTAAAAACTTTCATCTTTTTCTTTAATGTGAATGTCCCTTTTGTTTTGTTGTAATCAAAATAATTTTTAAAATCAAATTAAAAAAAAGTCAACGAGTATAAAGATGATAAATTGATGATGATGATTCGACGATTTTTTGACATAAATGTAGAAAGAGAAAATCGTTGATTTAGATTGGACAATTTAATCTTATTTGATTGGTTAAACTGATTAAATCTAAATATGAATAAATTGTTAATCATCAAGCTACTTAATCATCTTTATCATCTTTCCTCGTCTCTCTCTCTCTCTCTCATTCTCCCTCCCTCTCTCTCTCTCTTTCTCTCTCACTCACTCTCACTCTCTTTCTCCTCCTGCTCCTCCCTTTAGTTAATTTTTGTTTCTAGAATCAATATATTCTTATTTTCATTAACTTTGATTTATGAACAAAATTAAGTTTTCTTTTCATTTAATTACAGTTTCAATTCGTTGATTAGTAAAAAAAATCAACAGTTACTACTTGACTGACCAACAATTAACAAAAAAAAACGACAATAACAATCACCGACTCATCATCATCATTCATTAGTGTAATCATCATGTTAGCAAATTTGTTAAACACAATTAATTATGTTCATTATGAAGTGTGGCAAGAAAAAGGTGACCCTCGAATCGATTCATATCCCCTCCTTCATGGTGGACCATGGAAAGTTCTGACCATTGTTGGTCTTTACATTTTCTTTGCCAAATATTGGGGACCAAAGATGATGAAAAACTCAGCCCCATGGGATTGTCGAAGAGCAATGATTATCCACAATTCAGTTCTAATTGTGCTCAATTTGATTGGTTTTCTGGTTGGACTTGCAGTTACATCGTTCGGTGCTGAAGCCTGGTCATGTAAAGCATTGGATACAAGTGATGTTACACTTAAGACCCGATTAACATTGGCCTTGGGCTATTTGTATTTTATTACCAAATTTATGGACTTCTTGGATACGCTATTTTTTGTGTTGCGAAAGAAAAACTCTCACATTTCAGGATTACATGTTTTCCATCATGCAATCATGCCCTTGACCGCTTGGGCTGGATGTAAATTTTTCCCCGGCGGTAATTCAGCTTTAACTCCATTGGTCAATTCATTTGTTCACGCAGTCATGTATGGCTATTACCTGCTCGCTGCCCTTGGTATACCCCAAGAAAAATATATCCATCTTAAAAAGCACATCACCGAAATTCAATTGCTACAATTTACCCTTGTCCTTTCCCATTCACTTTACTCTTTAATCAATACGACCTGTGAATGGCCTCGAGCTATGGCCATCGCTGAGGGCGCAGAGGCGATCACTTTCCTCAAAATGTTTTCCGATTTTTACATCCACACTTATTTAACTAAGAAAGTTAAACAAAAATGATTTAATTAGCTTAGAAAATTTAACAAAAAATTCAAATTTTTTCTACCCTTTTTTTGGTAACTACAATTAACCTTATTTTTGAGAAATTTTCTTCATCATTTCCGTTTCTTGTTGTAAACTCTTTCCCTTAATTCCCTCTCTATCTATCTATCAATCTCCTTTCCTTTCCTTTCCTTTCTTCCCTTTAAATACACTTTGTTAATTGTTGATTTTTTTCTTCTCCTTCTCCTACAATTTAACAAGCAATTAATGGACATTTTATCTAATTAATTGATTAAAAAGGTACACACACACACAATTACACTTTGAGTGTTTTCCAATTTAAAATGATTTGTCTCTCTTTTTTTGCATTTAAATTTAACCTTTGTTTTTTTATCATTTAATATATTAAATTAATGGATAAGCTGGTTTACAGAAAGGTAATGGGGCTGACCAGTGTCCATCAGAGTTACAGGTAAGTATAGTTGATCCCTGGAGACGATAATCAGGTTTACATACAATTGAAATTGTTTCACCGATATTGTAATGAAATTTGGTTGGTATCAGGTAACCATTAGTTGGTTCACCGGGAAATTCACATGAAGCTTTACCTGTTAATTGTTAACGAAAAGATGACCAACAGTTAGTGATTAGTTAATTATGGTAAATGATTAGACCTTTACAAAGTTTTCACTTTGATAAAAAAAAGTCAATCGGATTTAGATAATCCGTTTCAACTATTAAAACTGATCAACAACAGTTGATTGTTAATCTGATTACGAAAAACGATAAAGTTGATTAAAATTGTTTAAACTGGAAAACAATAAAATTAATCTGATTAACAATTAAACAGCCCAAGGTAATTTACTATTATTTTTCACCTTGACCATTGGCCATTCACTATGATTAAAGGTAAAATGTTAACCATTTAATTGTCACCTTAATTTTAATCATCAATCTTAATTATCACATTTACATGGGAAATTGTTGGAAAATATATTTGATACTAATTGTTAATTTTTGCTAATCATCACCCACTCAATATAAAAGTATCAAAGTTTCAAGTTTATCAAATTTAGGACATCACTTTAATCATAATTGTTAAATAATCACAATTAACATTTACCAATCATAATCAAGATGAAACTTTAATAATCCAAATTAACTTTCACTTTTTCTTGTTTATTACTTAACAATATCAACGTGATTACCTTTAACCCTTAAGGCCTTGGATCATAAATGAGGTCTTGATTGTTAATCAAGTTAATCAAGTCAAGTTTGATTAGTGTATTTAGTTAATTAATGAAAAAGAAAATTCCGTAAATTTTATTAACCATTATTATTATTATTATTATTATTAGTTTAATTAATTGAACTCTATTATTATTACTACTACTATTTAGTGGCTAATAAAAAGGTAAAATTGTAATAAGATGTTGAATGATTCAAGTAATTAGATTGATTAGTTCCTAATTGTTGGGTGATTAGTATTAATTGTAACAAATGTTAGTAAAAACCTTTCAACCAATTTAAACAGTATCAAAGTTTGTTTTTTTAATCAATTAATAATCGGTTAATTAATTACTTTATATACTTACAAATGGGTGTTGGTTTGGACCAAGTTCCGTTTTCAAGGCAAATTGATAAACCATCACCGATCATGATGTAACCTGAATTACAAAAGTATTGAACATAATCACCAGTACGATAGTGACCAGTGTCCAGTAGACGTCCATTGGATGGGGTTGATGGCATGGGGCAAGTGTTTTCTATCAATAAAAAACAATAAAAGAAGAGCAATTAAAATACATGATGTAGATTGATTGAGAAACGATTGTTAATCCATCAAATTTATAATTATAATGAATGAAAAAATTCTGTTGATATATTCAGAGGATCATGAGAATGAGAAATTCAAGTTTTCGAATCGAAAAAAAAAATAATCGAAACTTTTTGTTTCTCATTAACAATTCGATGACAATGAATTAAGGTCGAACCTGAATTCTGGCCTTGACCAGATAACTTGAACGCTTCTATCCGGTTCAAATGTGTGTTCCGATTAAATAATGAACGTTAATATTATCATCGTCATCCCCAGATTAACATGTTAATCAGATAATGGAAAAGGTAAAAAGTTAATCAAAATTAATTCTAATTGCTTCAAGTCTTTAAATCACTTGGATACACCAGTAATATTAGTTATCATCTCTGAGAGGTCAAGTAATAAGACTAATTGTGTTTTTTTTAATTCTATTAAAATAAGAATTATATTTATCATCATGATAATCATAAAGAGGAGGATGAAAAAAGCCTGATGGTCAGTCTAATATAATGTGCAAAAGTGACCATTGATAATGTATCATCTTTGATAGTGATTTGAGTTACCTTTTTGATTGTTAATGATTAACTAAATTTGCCTGAAACCATTAGTTATGATAATATTATTACATTTGATTTACGATTAATATGTTACTTTACAGATTTATTTTTTCATCGACTCCAACTGATGATGAGATTGGAAATGACCTGAGGCTAATTGTTATATCAACGATTATTATACATTGACAGTTAATTGAATGAGAAAATGATTGTTAATTTAATTATCATCACTATTTTAAATTTCTTGATGATATGAGATGGAAACTTTTACTTATTAAATGGTTTCCAATTAACGTTAATTGTTAATTGTTGGCTCTTAATTTGATATTTTTTTTTAAGGAAAGTTGACCAATTATCAGACTTTTAGATTTATCAATTATCAACAAGAAACTGTGATGACAATTTAAGCTAATTGGATCAATTTCATTTGGTTTTGTTGATGTTAATTGTTGATTAGAAAACTGTTTCAGGTCAAAATCACTTCGACTTATGGTTTTAAGTGTAAATCTGTTGATTCGTTGGGAGACTCAACGATTAAGTGCAATTACCATTTGCTTCTAGCGCTTAATAATCAAGATCAGTAATCAAATAATCATGTTAATCATCACAGATGATGACGGTGATAATGGTTAAAGGTAAAATAGTTGACAGAAATTCTGAGAGTTAAAAGTGATCTGGAAAAATTTGAAAGCGAAAGTGAAAGTTAATCAGTTTGCGATTTTCAACTTTTACCGTTATTTTCTTAATCGGGTGTAATCAGTGTCAGTAGAATGATAAAAGATGAGGATGAAAGAGATAAAAATGGCGGGAAGATAAGATTTCAGGTAAGATTGTAAAACTGTCTCAATGATGAGAGTTTTTTTTTTACTTCTATCAAATCAGAAAAATCTGATATCAGGTAATTCGAGTGCGAAAAACTTTTGCTAAGAGGATAAGTGAGATAATATCATGAATATTATCTGAATTAATCTTAATTACTCTTTAATTGATCACAAAAGATATAGTTAATCACTATTTAAAGTTGATTAGTTCAATTGTTTCCAATCAGCAACAATAATATTAATAATTATCGAAACAGTCACAACAAAAATATGATCAGCAAACTATTGATTCCTAATTAAATTCAGCATTATAATCATACTGATGATGAGGATGGTGATAATTATTGATAAATATCTTGATAAATATCAACTGAGCCATGTGACAGGGTCAAGGATGTGCAATGAATTCATCATCAGCTGACCAATGCTAAAGTTTTCCCTGTTTATCAAAAGTAAATCATAAGGACTTTCAGTCGTTCGTCATAGTGAAATTAAGACTGAATTTATTACTTAAATCATGATGAATTATCACCAGAATCAAGAGCTGATTATATTTCGTTATTATTATCATTCTAATTGTTAACAAAACTTCAGATATACACAAAAAATCAAGGAAATGATTGAATTTTATCATGTCAATCATGAAGATAAGGACAATGATGATCAGAGTGAGAACTCAAGTTCCGATGAACTTGAAAATCCTCCATAGGCCTTTGAGTCCTAATCCCATGTAACTGAATAGACTCAACTTATTTTTCATTAGTTGAATTTTTTTTTGATTAGTTACGTTAATTGTTGATTAACAAGTAAATTTATTCAAATTTGATTGACGAGTTAATCAATTGTTATTAATAGTTTGATTGGTTCATTTGATTTCTTAATATTTTTTCCTTCTCACCTTTAATTTTTTTCATCTCACAAAACACAATCAACAGGTATCAATATTATTGGAAAATTAACTTAACTGAATTAAAATTGATTAAAACAGAAGTGAAAACAAAAATTATCGCAACTCAATTTCCTCTTGCCTTGATTATTACAATTAACTAAACAGCAAAAAGTTTAATCAACAATCTTTAATTGTTAACAGGTAACAATTAACAGGCTATCAAATTAAAAAAAAAATAGAATGAGGGAAGATTTAAATTGAAACCAAATTAAACTTGTTACAATTACAATTTAGCTTGAACTTGTTACAAAGTTGATATCACAATTTGAATTATCAACTTGAAGGTGAAGGTTACAATTTATCATGATAATCAATTAGTATTCACTTGAATAATCATCATGAATCATTCAGATCGGTTGAACAAGGTAATCAATTGATTCCGTTCAAGCTCAACTGATGAAGAGAGAGAGAGAGAGAGAAATGAATTAGATTCATGGTGAATAAGAAATCACATGAAATAATGAATTAGATGAAATCTAATGAGTTGATCATAGAAGGAGAGAAAAAATCTCACAATTTATCATGAATTCTGTTCATGTTTCAATCTTTTCTTTTTTTTCTTGTCATTTCCATAGTTAATATATATAAGTTTCTCATCATTCTGAGACATCAAACATTATTCATATGTTAGATTTAAGATCAAGATTAATATAAAGAAGATAAAATCTGACAGCCTGACATCTGAACATGAACTTCAATTGTTAAAGTAATCATGAGATTCATCAGGAGATCTCAGATTACTATGGACGATATCCTTATGATGATGTTGATCAGAATATTGGTCAAGTGAATTATTATTAGTTCAATAGAATTGGGAAACAGAAAAATTTCCCCTGAAATTTATTATCAATGAAAATTTCAATTGTCAACGATACGAGAAAAAAAAACTAAAAGTTCTGAATTTTGATTCAGCAGGAAATTAGAGTAACATGGAAAAGGATTAAGATGGAAATAGAACCGGAAATTGTAGAGTAACTTCCATGATGATTTATCAACAATGTAATTTCACCAGTTATCAGGTAGAGATCTTATTGTTAACGATAAAGAAAATGATTGTGGAAACGGAAATAACATTAAATGGTAGTGAGAAAATGAAACTGTAGCTCTTGGAGACATTAAGATGAAAGTGTAACGGTAGAATATTAGATTGGAATCGTCATTTGAATGGTTAACAGAATCAATTGGATAAATTGATTCAATTGTGAAAATTTTAGTTAACTTTCTGGTAAACCTTTGGATCTGAAATTACCATCAGATTCAATTCATTTATTCAGAGTATCTCCTTTACTTTTGGGTGAAATGATTTCATAATGAAATTTTCAGACTATCCACAGGATTTCATTACTATTATCATTATTATCTCAATCTAATGAATGCTGATTGATTTTCAATTGTAAATCTATTAACTTTATCATCATTATACTGTTGTGTATACACTATTATTTCATGGCTCTTACTCAATCCTCTTCAGGGAATCAGGGAGAAAGTTTCAACATGATAATATCATGATGATTACCATGATGATGTTTATCAATTTTTACCTTCACATTGAGGTATCTCATTGCTCCAAGTATTATTTTTGAAACACGAAATTGATGATAAGCCATTTAACTTATATCCATTGGGACAGGTAAAGTAAACTCGAGATCCAAATGTCCGATTGTAAGTTGATATCTTCAGGTATGGATCATCAGTTGATAAAGGTGGACATTCAATTGCTTTAAATTTAAAAGATAGTTAGACAATTAGTTGATTGACCAATTAACTAAATCATTGGCAGATCTATTAATGTAATAATAATTGATTTGTTGTCGTTGTTGATGATGATCATCAGGATATGACAAAAAAAACGAGTTAACAATTAGCAATATGGTTTATTGATTGCTAATCAATATTTCACCTTTAATAGATTAGCAAAATTTAATTATCTCTGGCAAGGTAATAAACTAATCAGTAAATTGCTTCTAATTTGATTCTAATGAATGGGTAAACAATTAACTCATCTGATTATACAAATGGTACGATTTTAAGTACAGTAATTGGTATGAAAATATACCAAGTTAATAAGACAATTGTAAATTGAAATTAATTACAATTTATACTAATCATTATCCAGCTAATTGCTAATTGTGATCAAATTAATTGAAAGCAAACAGTAAATTGGTATTTCACTTGGCATTACACTGATACTATTAGGTAATAGGTTTGACATTAAATAAGTATAGAGGTTGGATCCATGTATTAATAGTAGTAATTGTTTGAAGTAAATGATAATTAGTTAATTGTTAGTTAATTACCTTGACAGTTTGGTAAAGGATGAGACCAGTAACCATTTGGTGTACATATGATATCATCAAAGCCCATAAGGTAATAGCCTTCAACACACGAGAAACGAGCCTGTGAGTGCATCTTCCTCCCATCAACGGTCATTATCCGGTTCGGGTCACTTGAATCAATTGGTGGACATTCAATATCTATGGTCAAGCCATGAAAAAATTGACAAAAAAAAGTAATTCAATTAGTTGGTCACCTCTTATACTTTAACATTAATAACATGAATGAACATGTCTAAAGGTTATCAATGTTATCGTTATCATGTTAATTATCATTAATTGAAAATAAGAAAACAAAAAGAAACCATTTCTATTAGGAAATAGAGATTAATGGTTAATATTGAAGTCTAATCATCTAATCTTGTTATTATCTTAATCCAATATTGGATTGAATTTAAGATTAATCTTTTCCGGTAGAAAAAGTTGATAGAAAGTGAAATGATCACTTTAAATGATTGATTTTTACTAATTCTATTTATTAATTTGTTTATCAAGGTTAATTGTTCTAAAGATTATCTTTTGATAACAATATCATTCTGAACATGATCATCTTCATCGTTTCCCTTTAAAAGGTAACCATCATAATCCGTCACTAGGTCATTAGGCCAAATACCGGACGGAACGGTGAACGAAATTTTTTTCTTACCGCTCATTTACCTGATCTACTGTTAATATTATTACTTATCATTTACTTCAATAAATTTTAATAATACTTGCTGATTGTTGAAACCTATTTTTATTTGAGTATTTCCAATCAAATGAAAAAAAGCACCATCATCATGGTGGCAGAAACAAGTTTCAAACAGTAAATAACTTGCCCATCAATCTATTGGTCAAGCATGGTCAGTGATGGTCATCTTACCTTGGATAGATGGTAATGGATTAAAAATATTTCTATTCATTTATCTGAGAAGAAAAAAATCAACACAACCAACGATAGTGAATATGCTTGACCATTGGGTCATTAAGAAAAACTTGAGGAAAGGAAAATCAATCTAATCGATTATCTCAATGATTTAATCGACTCAAGATCCAAGACCAAGTTTAATATTAAGGTAATTTAAAGGTAATCAAAAAAAAGATGTAAAAACAATAAAAAAAACATGATAATAATGATGAACAAGTGACTTATTGTATTAACATCCTCATCCTCATCATCATCATCATCATCATCATGGTAAATACAATTTACCTTGGTAACGAACAGTTTTTCAAGTATGAAAACCAGTTTGCTTTTAATGTTGTTGTTGGTCAAGTAACGAAACTAAAAGTAGACCAAAAAGTAGCCCATCAAATAGACAAAAATTTTCATCTTCCGTTCCTGTTTATTAGTAATATTATCAATTGGCCTCAATATTTTCCTTTCCAACCAATCAATTTATCATTTAACTTTTACACAACTATTACCAATTAAAGTCCAACAATCAACTAACAATCATCAAGTCAACAATAACAAAAAAGAAACAATTTAAAATTCAAAACGGTAACTGCCATCTACCGATCATCTAGAGTATCGACAAAAAGTACCGTTATCTTTTCATTTGGTTATCTAAAATTTGATTATCACCCATGAAAATTGTTAATGATTAAAGTTAATCTAATGAATATTATCATCACTTTTATCTCTATGATAGGATGATGAACTTTTCCATCAAGTCACCCTGAGGGTATGAAACGATGATTAGATTTAAATTGTTCATAGTAGTTTGATATTCACTCAATGATTGTGGACATTTTTTTTGTCCTTCATCTAATACTAATCATCAATAAGGTTGGATAAATTTTTCAGGCTGATAAATATCATCATCTCACCATAATACCTTTCAATTGGCTCAGGTTTTTCTTCATGATCATGATTTTCCATGATGATGATTCTGTGAGTTCTGCTGATGATCTGAATCATAATAATCCAATAGTAAATCCAATGATAAAAGAATTCATTATTTCTTCATTTGTAATAATGATAATAATCATAATATTATGAAGGACCATTTATCAATAATGTCTTGAGTCTATTCAACTAATCAGTTGATGGACTCAAGATGATTTTCATCATGTTGATGGTCATCATCATCATCATGATTCATCATCATTCTGATGACAAGAAAATATAATGATGAGGTCAAAATGATGATGACCAATGGGAAATAAAAAGGATCAAGAATCGAAATGGAATTGACATGAAATATCTGGATTTTTTTTCTCCTCATCATGAATCCATATCATCCTAAATACTATCATCATCTTCATCATCATGGATCATTGTCATCATTGAATCAAATGAAGAGAAATATTTATCATCACCATGAGATTAAATATTCTCTTTTTTTTATTTACCATAAACCTGAAGAAGAGGTTAATTTGAAAAGAGAAAATCGATTCATGAGTATTAAGATTATCATGCAGAAAATTAAATGGAATTGAAAATGAACTTTAATTCAATTTGTTCAATATTAATCATTCATCATCTTTAGATAACAAAAACTGTTCAAAGTTAAACCTACATCATGCTCGATGGTGATTATCCTTATTCTTATCTTCATCCTTCTCAATCATGATGAGATGAAATAATAAGGCTAAACCAATTTACCGTTACTTTTATTACCAAAGGGGATCACAAAATAGGTACACAAGATGAAGGTGAAACATTGGCTCATCTTGGTGAATTAAATTGAGTTTATCATGAGTTCACATGGATTCAGATGAATACAATGTCTTTTTCATTGAGTTATAACCTTATTATTTTCATGGTAACAATGAGAAAATTCTGAGTAGTCAGGGAAAAAAGATATTAGTTTCTTATCTTTATCCTCTTTCTTCATTGCCAGTGTCTTTCCGTTTCCGTGAAAGTTTGAAATATCATGGAAACTTGAAATATCTTTAAAAATTGATCTACAGAAGAATCATGAGAAAATCAATATATTACATGAAATTTTCCACCTCAGATATTATTCAATAATCCAACTGACCACTTGAATATGAACCTAATCTTATCATAGTGTTTTTGTTATAAGAAATGAAACCAATTGATGTAACAAAGTGTTCATGTTTTCATGAGGATGATACAAGTCACCATGGTGGAAGTAAAAAAAACAAGTTACTCTTTTAAAAGGATTTCGGGTTACTCTCAATTCCCCTGAGGGTGTTGTGTTATTATTGGTAACTTTGTTAGCATCCAGTTAGTGTTCATTTTCAAAATAAACTCAGTCTCTTTTTACCATGAAATTTCTGAATCTATTGGAATGTGAATATCCACTCAACCAGATAATAGTAATAATACTAATCAGAATGATAACATGGGAGGAAAGAGAGAGAAATTCATATTAAAAGGAAACTCTGAGTCTAGGAAAAAAAAGGTAATGGAAGAAAAAGAGAAAAGAACTTTTTTTTACTTCTTCTTCTTCTTCCTTTTTCACCATTCATTTCTTGATAATCGAATGAAATTTTCATTCCTAACTGAATATGAGGTTAACTCTATTTTCACCTTGAGCATCATGATGTTAAAATTGTTTACCCTGAATCAAGGGAAAAGTACATCATCAAGAAGATGAATAAAGTTGCTCAGCTAATCAGTTGAACAATTTAAACTGGCAATCAATTCATGATTCCAGATTAAGGTTTTACAATCAATACGAATCAGTTGTTCATCAGTTTCTCAATGAATATATTTACATGTGAGACTTTTTTTTTTTCTTGTACCATGAAAACTGATTTGAAACTTTTACCTCTTAATTGGTAATTCAATTCAGGAATTGGAGAGAAAATGTTTTCCTCTCAATTTTTTTTGTTCACCATGTACCTGAGTAAATTTCTTGGAACTTTTTTTCCAAATAATAGCAAAAGAGAAAAAAAGTAAGAAAAGTTCTTGAAAAAACTAGAAAAAAAGTTTCCCCAATTTCACTCAGGTAAGTAAAGGGTAACAAGGTACAAATTAAAGTCAAAACTCAAGCCTTAAAGGTGAAAGTGTTTCAAGTTAAAGTTACTTTTTGCTCAGGTTACTAACGACTTACCTGTGTTTTTACCTGTTCAGTTTCAGGCAAAAAGGTATTATAAAAGATTAGGTTGAGATAGAATTGAACTTAATAGAAGATCAGAATTCATCTGAGAGACATTGGAAATTTTTTATTGTCTTTTCTTTTTCCATCTCTATCTCTTGTTGAACATTTTACATTTCATCATGAAAAATGAATGGAATACAATCAACCTGAATGAGATCAGATAATTGGTTAGAACTTGAAAAAAAGTAGAAAATTTTTTACAATTTAAACATTGAAATCATTTCTTATTCAAGATTGTAAGAAATTTATTCAACTTTTTATCGAAACAATTTCATGGGTAAAGATTGAATTTTATCTGAGCTTTTATTTAGTTGTTTGTTCATCTATTTGTAAATCATCATGATTAGATCAGAAGTGGAAATTAATCTTAACAATTAAAACTATCAGTACAATCATGCACCAATTAAAGTTCTAAATAAAATATTAATAGTTCATTAATCAATCAAGTTCGAGAACTAAAAATCTTCCCTTTGTTTCATGTAACTTGTTTGTCTTTCTCAATCTTATAAAATATTAATCATATTGTGAGCCGATCGATTTCATGATTAAGTTCATTGATGCCAAAAAACCTTCATGATTATTCAACGTATTATGATGGAATCCTGCGACTGCTGATTTCAAGGTCAAAACTTTATGTAAAAGTTGATTGAAAGTCAACTCTTATATAACGGTAATTCTGTAATAGCAAAATCTGAGTAGGTGAAAGTCCAAATATCTAGAGTGTACCCAGTACTTTTTTCTCAATTCTAGTTATTTTATATTGCTGAATAAAGTGAGATTTTTTATATGTTATCAGATAAAATTATTATTATTTTCATTAAGAATTGATGGTGATTAAATTAATAACAATGTAGAGAGAGAGAGAGAGAGAGAGAGAGAGAGAGACATGGATTTACATGATTAGAAATCAATTAACTTGAGAATCAATTAGGATGAGACGAAAATTTCATCATTATTATTCACATGTCTGAGTTGGATATTCACAATCTTCATGATTAATACGATGCATCTCATCAAATGAATAATAATCAAATCAATTAAATCATTCCGATATTTTCTAGTCACAAGTTAATTCTGGTTGCA